TTTTTTTTTTTTTGGGTACCGGGGATCGAACTCCTGTCCTTGCGCTTGCGCAGCAGGCAGCGAAACCACTGAGCTAAATCCCCAGCCCCCTCAGATGCCCATTTTTGATTCATTTTCTTAATGGTATCTTTTGCAGGGAAAATCTTTTTAACTTTGTTGATGTCCAGTGATACAATTTTTTGTTTTATGAGTTGTATTGTTTCTCTATGAATTTTTTTGCTAGCCCTACATCGTGAGGATTTCTCCCTGTATTCTCTCTCTAAATGTTTTATAGTTTTTCCTTTCACAATTAGAGTCTTAACTCATTTTGAGTTAATTTTCTGTAAACTGTAAAGCTTAGGTTGAAGTTGATTTTTTTTTTTGTATGGATGTCTTGTTCCAACATCAGTTGCTGAAAAAGCTTGTCTTTTCACCATTAAATTGCCAGACATTAATTAGCCATATTTGTGTGGATCTATTTTGGGACTCTGAGTTCTCTTTCACTGATCAGTGTATTTGTGTATCTTATCAGTAACACACAATTTAATCACTGTAGCTTTAGAGTAAGTAAATTGGATAGTGTGATTTCTCCCAACTTTTTTTTTTTTTTGAGACAGGTTCTCGCTATATAGTTCAGGCTGGCTTTGAACTATGCAGCCCAGCCTGGCCTAGAACTCATGGAGATCCTCCTGCCTCAGCCTCCTGGGTGCTGGGATTTTAGGCATGTGGCACCATGCCATACTTTATTATTTTTCAATATCATTTTGGCTATTTTAGTTCTTTTGTCTTTTCATATAAGTTTTAGAATCATATTGTCATTCTATATTGGAAATCCAGCTGGGATTTTTTTTTTTTTGAGACTGGATCTTGTTGTGTAGTTCAGGGTGCCCTTGAACTCACTATGTTACTTTATATCTATCTTCAAGTTTCTTGACTATTATCTCTATTCTGTTCTTTACGCCCATCCAGTGCATTTTTAGATTTTTTTAAAACTTTTTTTTAGCACTAGGGATTGAACCCAGGGTCTTCGTATTGAACTACATCTCTGTCCCTCTTTATTGTTTATTTTGAGACATGGTCTGAGTTAGGACTTGGAATCATTCTACCTCAGCCTCCCAGAGTGTATGACACTGGCAGATTTTCAGTTATTTTTATCATTATATTTTTCAGTTTTAAAATGTTCTTCCTAGCCAGGCATAGTGGCACACACCTGTAATTCTAGCAATCAGGAGGCTGTGGCAGGAGGATCGCAGCAAGTTCAAGGCCAGCCTGGGCTACATAGTGAGTTCAGGGCCAGCCTGAATTGCAAAGGGAGACCCTGTATCAAAAAAAAAAAAAGTTCTTTATGTTTTCTGTTTCTTTGCGAGAATGTTTTTTTTCTTCCTTCTTGCCTGCCTGCCTGCATTGCTAGGATCTAACCCAAGGCCTTGCAAATGCTAGGCAAACATTTCCACCACTGAGTCACATCCCATCTCCCATCCTTGTTCTTTTTAGTTTGTTTTTTTTTTTTTGGTACCAGTGATCAAACTTGGGACCTTGTACTTGCAGGGCAGGTGGCAGAACCACTGAGCTAAATCCCCGGCCCCGCTGGTTGATTTCTTGACAGCCATTCTTTCTGGAGTAAGATGGAATCTCAGCATTATTTTAATTTGTATTTCATGAATGACCAATGATGTTGAACATTTTTTCATATATTTATTTGCTCTTTCTACTTTTTCATCTGAAAAGTGTCTTTTCATTTCAGATGGCCACTTTTGCATTGGGTATTAAAATTTGGGGGGGGTCTCAGTTTTTTGTTGTTTATATATTCTAGATATTAGTCCTTTGTCTGAGGAACAGCTGGTAAAAAATTTTTCCCATGCTGTGGCCTTGTCTCTTCACTCTGTTGGTGGCTTCTCTTGCTGTGCAAAAGCTTTTTAATAAGATGAGGTCCCAGTTGTTGATTCTTTGTAGTATTTCTCATGCGATCTGGGTTTTGTTTATGATGTCTTTGCCTACTTCTGTGTCCTCAAGTATTCTACCTATTCTCTTCTCTGGCAGATTTAGTGTTTCTGTTTTAATATTAAGATCTTTGATCCATTTCGATTTTAGGTTAGTGCATGGTGAAAGATGTAGGTCTAGTTTCAATCTTTGGCATCTGGAAAGTCAGTTTTTCCAGCACCATTTATTAAAGAGTATAATAGGTACTTTAAAGTGATTTTGAAATATCATCTTGGCATTAGTATTTATTGACTCTCTTTTCTAATGTGTATTGAGATTTCTCTGGTTCTTTGTATAAGTTGCAGTTTTGGATTATACCTACATGTTTTGAATATTATGTTGAAAAACTCTGGGTCCTGAATAAATCCTGTGAGAAATTATTTTTCTGTTAGCAGGATTCAGAGTACAAATCTGCCCCCTTCTATGGACTGTGGTTTCGACCATAGTACTGTTCTCTAAATCTTGGTGGTAAGTCTTCAGCTCTGCTCTATGCGTGGGCATCCTAGCAGTCAGCCTGGGGCCTGGGCAGTGGTCGGTCCCCTTAGCATCTTCAGCCTGCTGTTTGAGGGTTATACCTACAGGAGTACAGCTTCGAACGAGCCCAGAAGTTTATCCCCAGCTTTCTGTGTTCTCTTTCCAAGCTCCTTCCTCTCTGAGGTTTTCACGAAGTTTCTGATGCCCAACCTTGCTCTTTTGGTCCTCTGGCTTGTTACCTCATTTTTCTGGGTCACCTGGGCAGGCAGGAGGACCACAGAGATAAGAAAAGGCGTAGGAGTTAAGCTCACCCTCTTGGAACCATAGTCTGTGGATTATGAGGTTTTCTCTCCGTCAGTACTTGAATCCACGGATGCCACTGCTGCTGCTGCAGCCACAGTGCAGGTTAGCCTGGGTGCGAAAGAGGGCAGACAAGGGGAAAAGGGAAAACGGGGGTCATCATTCTCTCTGAGTGCTGGGGTTTCCTTTCTTCTTCTTTGAACCCCAAAACAGCACAGTTTGGATTTTCAGGGTGCCTCGGGGTACCCACCAGGGAATGTCAGGAGGAGAATGGAAATACACACACACACACACACACACACACACACACACACACACACACTTCCTAGCACTCAAATGTTTTTCTTTTTGGCAGCACAGGGGCTCTGGCCCGGGGTCTTGCACACGCTGGACAAGCCCTTTGCACTGAGCTGCCTCCCTAGCCCCATGGCCCTCGAATTCTACTTTCCAAATCTGCCAGTTACTGCATACTTTTTAAGTGTCTACAAAACGAAACAAAACAAAACAAACAAAAACTACTCCTTGCATTCTAAGTTTTTGTTTTTGTTTTTTCAGTACTGGGGATTGAATTCAATGCCTTTACACTAAGCTACATCCCTACTCCTTTTTAAAAATGTTTATTTTAAGACAGGGACTCACTAAGTTACTAAGTTGCCAAGGTTGGGTTTGAACTTGTGATCCTCCAGCCTCAGCCTCCTAGAATGCTGTGATCACAGGCATGCGCCACCATGTTAGGCTTAGGTTTTGTATTTCTATGTAGTGGGAGACACAAGGTGGAGTGTGTTCTTACTCCATTGTAGAGTGATCTGGAACATAGTTCTTTTTAATTTTTTACAAGTTTTAATTTTTTAATTACAAAACACCTTTTTTGTAGAAAACTTGAAAAGTAAAAGTTAAGATAAAATAAAGGAAGCTAAAATCAGGGGCTGGGGATTTAGCTCAGTGGTTCTGCCTCCTGCCTTGCAGGTGCAAGGTCCCGAGTTTGATCCCCAGTACCAAAAAAACAAAAACAAAAAAAGAAGCTAAAATCTTTTGTAAACTCATGAACTACTGTTATTTTGGTGTTGCTTTATAGTCCTTTTTAATTTAAAAAAAATTTTTTTTCTCCCCCTGCGGTACCGGGGATCAAACTCAGGACCTTGCACTTTCAAGGTAGCTGCGATGCCACCGATCTAGATCCTTGGTCCTCCTTTTAATTTTACATATGTCTTTTCTCAGTTTTTTGTGGAAGGGGAAGTGCTGGGGATTGAACTCAGGGCCTTGCACATACTGAACAAGTGCTGTGCTACAGAACTACATCCCAACTGCTGAATTTTAACAGTAAAAATTAGACAAGTGAAATCATGTTGCTTATTTTAATCAGTAGGTTTTAAGACTCAGATACTATGAATATGATCTAATTTTTACTAAATCTTCTCTTTTCCTAAATAGGTAGAAAATATTTATCCTCAAGCTGGCTGGGTTGAAATTGATCCTGATATTTTGTGGGCTCAGTTTGTTGCTGTAATAAAAGATTCTGTCAAAGGTAATAGAATTTATAAAAATAATAGTCATTTCTGCAGTATATTATGTTTGTAATAAGAGTTTTATTGCTACGCACTGTGGTATATACCTGTAATCCCAGCTACTCAGGAGGCTGAAGCAGGAAGATTGCAAGTTCTAGGCCATTTTCCCAACTTAGTGAGACCCTGTCTCAAACTTAAAAAATTAAAAAGAGGCCGGGGATTTAGCTCAGTGGTTTTGCAGCCTGCTGAGCAAGTGCAAGGACCCAAGTTTGATCTCCGGTACCAAAAAAAAAAAAAAAATTAATAAGAGGCCTGGGGATTTAGCTCAGTGGTGCTGCTGCCTGCCTTGCAAGTGCAAGGTCCCAAGTTTGATCCTCCGTACAAAAATAAATAAATAAATAAAGAGCTGGGGATTTAGCTCAGTGGTAGAGCACTTGCCTAGCATGCGTGAGGTCCTGGATTCAATCACCAGTTCAGAAAAAAAAGTTTTCCTTAGGCTTGTATGGAAAACTCAGGTTCGGTAGAATTTTGTGGTTAAGTTATACCTATAGTATTTTATTGAGGGGAGCATCATAGTTTCCCAGTATCTTTCAGGGGAGATGTGTGGTTGACAGCGGACCACCTTGTCAAGGAAAGATAGCAGGTATGATGTCCTCTGGCTTGTCTCTTGGCAACTGTGTGGAAATCAGTGCCATATGAATGAGAGAAAAATGACTACAGGGGTACAAAGTTGCCACATATGCTTCCTGCTGTCCTGAGCTCCCATCTCAGTTACCTTGGTGTTAAAATAAGCTTTTTGTTCTGTTTTTCCAGGGTAGTCACTTGATGCAGTGTTGTTTGTCTACACTTGATCTTAGCCAGAAGGCTGAGAAGCAATACAATGTTGTTTTTCTAACCATAGCCATGGTCCAAAATTGTAACTCTTTAGGAATGTTTTCACTGCAGCCTTTTGGAAAGACATTGCAAAAGATGTCTTGTAAATTCTAAAAGGTCGTTTACCTCATTTTTCTGTCTGAATGGCTTCTCCTCATCTTTTTAGTTTGTAATACTTCAAAACGTATTAAAAAGGTTGCAAGTGAAAGGGCTAGGGGGTTGGGTAGCCCAGTGGTAGTGTGTGCTTAGTGGTGGGTAAAGCTCTGAGTTGATGCCCAGCACTAAAAACATAAAAAGTTTGTAAGGATAATGCTGTGATACCCAAGTGTGATAACACATACTGGTAATCCCAGCACTTGAAGCCTGAGGCAGGAGAATTAAGAGTTTGAGGCCAGCCTGGCCTATATAGTGAGTTCAGGACCAGCCTGAACTACATAGCAAGACCTATCTCAAAAAACACAAAACAGCCTCACATGGTGGCACAGGCCTATAATCTGTGCACTTTGCACTGGGGCAGGCAGAGTCAAGAGGTTCACCCTGAGTTTGAGTCCAGCATGGAATACACACTTGAGTTCAAGGCCAATCGGGGACTACATGTGAGAGCATGTCTCAAACAACAACAAAAACACAAAACAAAACATTAATACTCTTTTCTAGTACTCGGTCTTCAATATTCCCTATTATCTTGGTAAAAAAATAACTTTTGTTTGTTTATTTTGAGACACGGCCTTGTTATATAGTTCAGATTATCCTTGAACTCACTATGTTCAAGAATTTTAACTCACAGGCTAGCTGTGAATTTGTGGCGAACCTTCTGCCTCAGCCTCCAGTGCTGAGATTATAAGACTATGCCACCATACCTGGGAAAAATAACTTGATAAAAACCTGGAATCCAGCTGAAGATGAGGCACTGCATGTAGCTATCAGCTTGTTTTGTCTCCTTTAATCCAGAGCGTGTTCTTCATGACATTGGCAGTTTTTAAAAATGTAGCCCAAGGCAGGGGATTTACCTCAGTGGTTCCGCCGCCTGCCTTGCAAGTTCAAGGTCCCGAGTTCGATCCCCAGTACCAGAAAAAAAATGTGGGCCAGTTTGGTAGATTATCTCTCATTTGGAAGTTGTCTGAATGTTTACTCATGGTTAGATTCATATTAAGTATCTTTTTTTTGAGACAGGGTCTTGCTGTGCAGTTCAAGCTGGCTTTGAACTCACTGTGCAGCCCAGGCTGGTTTTGAACTCCCAGCGATCTTCTTGTCCCAGTCTCCTGACTCTTGGGATTATAGGCATGGGCCACCATGCCCGACCCATTCATATTAAATCCCCCCACATTGGGAATTGAACTCAGGACATTGTGATTGCCAGGCAGGCATAGGGCCACTGAGCTATATCCCTGGCCCCACCTATATTCCTGGCCCCCTTATGAAGTATTTTTGAAGTCCTACTTAATAGGAGTAATATATTTCCTCAGTGCTCCAATTGGAGTTGTCCTGAATTTTCCTACTGGGAGAAATTATTTTAGAAGAATATTATAAAATGTACTTGCATTTCTGTCTTTTAGGAAATTTGGATTTAAAAAGTCATGTTTTTATTTACATCCTTGGCTTGTATTTGTGTTGAAAAATATGACCTCATTTCAATACTTACACTACTTTCTCTACTTTCCCTGGTTTATCACCATCAACCAGTTTCTGTTATGATTGATCATTGCCTAAATTAAGATCCATTATCAGGGAGAAAATATAATCTGATTTGATATAGTGTTTTTTAACATTTAAAGTTAAAAAAGGGTTATTTTGTTCTCACAAGGATGTGATCTTTTTTCTTTTTAGTAAATAATACAGAGTCATCTTAGGAATGTTTTACTAATTAGATTCAATTATTTTATTAAAATGGGATATCTAGATTTTTTCCTTTAGGTTTTTGAGACAGGGTCTCACTATTTAACTTTGGCTGGCCTTGAATTTACAGTTGATCCTCTTGCTTCAGCCTCCTAAATTCTGGGATTACAGGCATGTGGCACCACACCCAGCTATATGTGTAGATAGTTTTTTGAAGATTTTAGTAAAACAATTACTTTTCATACTGTGATACTGTAAAATAAAACATCACTACCTTTTAAGCGTGTGTTTTCTCTGTCTTCACTTTCAGATGCGGGGATACAGATGAGGCAGGTTGTTGGTCTCGGCATATCAACACAGAGAGCAACTTTTATTACCTGGAACAGGTAAGTGCCTTGTCTGATAAGCACTCTGTTTCTGGGTTTGTGCTTCCATGAGTAAATGGCTATAAAACCTATCAGGGGAGTTTTGGATTTGTGAATTGAGAGTAGTTTCTCACTTGGCTAAGAGGGATGAGAACAGGCTTAACTTTCTGGCTTATATGTTCCCTGAATGTCACCTGAGCTTGACTTATATAAAATCACAATAAGGAGATTATTGTTGCTATAAAAATTCAAACAAGCATGGATTGAATATCCAAAAATTACCTTATACATACGGAGAGTCAGGAACCTAACACATTTCAGAAGCACAATGCTATGCTTATGATTTATATTCTCAGACTATTTCACATTTAAAATATAAGCATCCACATGAATGAGACACAATCATCCAGGACATATTGAGCTTGGGAAGTTGGGAAGAAAAGTGGAAGGAGGGAGAGGGCTTGAGTCTGAAAAATATATTCAGGGTAAATTCATAAGGTCCTGACTTTTGGTTCAGTATTAGGCAAGAAGAAGAAACCTGAATTTAGCAGTATTTTTGACCTTGATCTTTGGCAAAGTGTGATAGGAGTTACAGAGAGTACAAGAAGAGGAGCAGGTTGGGTAGGTGGTGGGGGGCAGAAGGGAAAATGATAAAGTGTTTAGCTTTAGATTTGTAAATGTGGGGAAGCTCGAGGTGACTGAGGCACAACACATTTTATCTATATGGCTCCTGATTTCTTCAGGGCATGATGCATGAGATTAATGCCTACTTTTACAGACCCCCCCCCACCCTTGCCCTTGGAGATAGCAAATCTTTAACAGTCAATATATTTGTGGGAAGAAGGCATGAATGAATTCAAGTTATCTATCCTGGCATGGTGACACACAACATATAATCCCAGCACTTGGGAAGCTGAGGCTACCATTGGAGGTCAGCATGGACTACATAGGAGACCATATCTCAAAAAACCAACAAGATATCTGCATAGATCTAATCAGTTTCACTCTTGCATTTTGGGCCAGATAATTCTTTGTTGTGGGAACTGTCCTTTAACATTGTAGATGTTTCAGTAACACCCTCCACAAACACTCTGCCTTGTGATACCCACAGGTGTCTCCAGACTTACAGTCACCTTCACTTGAGAATTACTGGTACAGAGGAAGTCTAGAGGAGTTAGCTGTATTCTCTGATAGAGATCTGGAAAGAGAAAAGCAGGTAGAGGATTTAGACTATGAGATCCTCCCAATTTTTAAAAATTTTATTTGTATTAGTACATGTTTGCAGTAAATAATTACACTAATTGTGTGTCCCCAAATTGAAAAGGAGTCAAGGAAGAAAAAACTGGCCAAGCAGGACCAGGACAAATCTGAGAAGTGGACAATAGGGAAGCAGAGGCGAGAGTGTTCTCAGGGAAGGGGCTCTTTGGAAGTGTCAAGTTTGGCCAGATTTGGAGACAGGTCTTTGGCCCCAGAGGTTGCTTTCATCACCCCTAGGCTATTGTGTCACTTGTGGTAGGAAGGTTAGAGTATTAGGAAGCAAACTTGTGTGATCCTAGGACCACACCTTAGTTTTAAAAGTCAGATTCCAAGAGCATTCATTTCCCGTACTTTTTGCTGGTGTTGTTTGCTTTTGTTTTTTGGGACAGCCTTGCTATATAGTTCAGGCAGGCCTTGAACTCATTAAGTAGCCCAAGCTAGCGTTGTACTCTGTCATCCTCCTGCCTTAGCCTCCTAAGTGCTGGGATTATAGAGGTGCACCACCACACACAGTTTAGAGGTTTTTTTCTTGACTGCCTTTTTTTCTTTTTTGAAGTGTGTCTGTTCTATGAATTTGACAAAAAATCTCTGCTTATAGAAATGGAAATACTGATATTTTAAAGAAACACGTGTAGTTTCTTTCTTCTTTTAGCTTAGAAAGGGGAGACTTATTGTGCTCCCTGGCCCAGCAAGCCAGTCTGGTCCACAACCTCCCCAGGCACAGGGAAGATACAGAACAGGAGCGGGCATTCTCACAGCCATCAAGGAGTACTTCCTGCTGCTCTGTGAGAGAAGAGAGGGTCTGGACTGAGGAAAAACCTGTCCCTTGCTCCAGTCCTAACCACGCCTGATCTGCCCAGTACACTGTCTGTCCCCTCCACCCCTCACCGTGACAATGGTACATTCCTGTCCTCTTGGCCCTGGAAGCTATTTTCTTCAGGATTGCTGTAGGGAAATCTGAATCTTGGATCCTTCTTTTTCTTTTTCTCCTTCCTTCCACCCATCCTCGGTGCCCCTAAGAGACTAGGAAATGCAGCGTTGTTAATGTTTTCTAGCCCTAGAGTCTTCTTCAGGTTCTTCAGGTTAAACTTTTACCCAGTGTATTTAATCAGTGTTGTGTTCATCCTGCTTTCTGAAATCCCTCTAAATGATACCACCTGTTTTGCTTCTTTTACATTCGTTTTGTCCTAAGAAAAATCATGAGGTGTTTGTTTCTTCAGTCACTGTGTCTCTTGGGACCTCAATCAGGGTGTGTGCCATTACCAATGGAAACAGTCAAAACAGGGAGTCCCGAAGGCTGGGATCCACACTGATTGCAGCCACCCACCGTGCTGGTGCTGAGCCAAATACAATGATGAGGAAGAGTGCCAGCCCCCCTTGGGGCTCATTATAGTCTCATTATAAGAGAGGATAAATTGCTCTATAGTTCTACTGCATCAAATATATGTTATATTTGATATTTATGTTAATGGTTCTTACTTATGACATAAAATATATGAAAAACCACAGAACGGTGTGAGGTGTTAGAAGGACTTAAGACAGCTCATTTACAATATTCCATTCATGCTCTTCTTCATTTCTCCTTTCATTGTTAGTAGGCAGAAAATTATCCCAAATCAAGGCTAAGTGAGTATTGGAATGTATACTACTACTTGACATTAATTTTCTTTTCTTTTCTTTCCTCCCCCAGGCCCTATTCTCTCTCTTTCTTTTTTTCTGTTTGTTTTTTTTTTTTGTTTTTTTAGTCAGTGTTTCACTATGTAGTTCAAGCTGGTCTTGAACCCACTGTGTAGTCCAGGCTGGCCTTGAACTCACAGTGATCCTCCTGCCTCAGCCTCCTGAGTGCTGGGGTTACAGGTGTGCACCACCATGCCTGGCTCTGGTTGTTTAGATTACCTTGTACCACATTATAAACTAACAATACCACTTTCATATGATTTTCTCCCTCCCTTTCCTCTTTAGCCACACTAGTCTTCTAACACATCATGCTTTATGCTACCTTAGGACATACAGCAACATACATACATACAACACATGCAACATACAACATTGAACATACTACAACACATTTTGTCAGGAATATTCACCTTCCTAGTTAATTACATATCCTTCAGCACTTAGTTCCTTTGTTACTTCTCAAAAGAAACCTTTACTGCCCCCAAACCAGCCAGGTTTCCCTGTTGGTTTGTTTATTTATTTTTAGGTTTCCATGTTTAATAGTCTTTTTTTTTTTTTTGGGTACCAGGGCTTGAACTCAGGTCCTTGCACTTGCACATCAGGTGGCAAAACCACTGAGCTAAATCCCCAGCCCCATGTTTAATAGTCTTGACATTGTTTTTCTCCTTCATGAGGCGATCAAAATACGAGGTAAATGTTTAAATTTTAAAATATTACAGAAAAAGACACATTGCCATTAATTCCCTTCAGAATACTCTCCCTTGCTTAGAACACACTTATCCCATTGTTCTCATCATCTCCTGAGGCAGTTTGGGAGTATTTGTTTTGTGTCTTTAATGAGTTGATAAATAATACGGTCATTGCTGCTGCCAAGTGCTACCCAATGGAAAAGTGGGCTTGTGGGTCCTCATCCACCTTATTCATTAAATATGGCACCATTGGGCCTCCTCCCCAAAGTCGAAATGACCATGAAACATAAATGTTTTGGATTGATTCAGGACATTGAGTCAGCCACTAAAGACACAAAAAAGAACTCTAAAACTGCTCCAGAAAGTAGCAAGAATTATGGGATAAGTGTGTTAGAATGGGGGAGGTATTAGGAGGATTATGGTAATGTATCTTTTTTTTTTTTTTTTTGGTACAGGGGATTAAACTCAGGACCTTGCACTTATGAGGCAGGCATAGTGCCACTGAGCTCAATCCCTGGCCCTGGCAATGTATCTTTTACTGTAATAAATTTTAAAATTTAGACATTTACCATATTTTCTAATCACACCTCATCTTCCTGTTGTAAGTAAGCAATTAAGTAATTATTTCTTTGAATTCCCTGGTTAAAAAAAATGTCTATTGATCAGGGCAAACATAAGCAATTTAGTGATTATTTGTTTGGATTTCATAGTAGAAAGAAAATTCATGGGGGGGGAGGGGAAATAATATTCTTCAGGGAAAAGATACCATGTTTTTCTGTTTATAGATTGGTTCCCAACTCCTGGCACAAATTGCTTTATAAATATTTGTTGAAAGCAGTGAATATGTGACCAGAAGTGTAGACTGCTTAGGTAGAGTGGAGAATGAAGTCTTGAACTGACCATGGTTAAATTTACACAGGAGGAGACTTGAAAATAAGGTAGAAAGCAAGGCCTGAATTTGATGTTGAAGATTAGAAGATATCAGTGCTGATAGTATAGCTCAGCCATATAGGGTGTACAGCACTAGTATGTGCAAGGGCCTGGTTCCATTCCTGGGGGAGAGAGGATTTATAGATGCCAGAAGTTGATGTGCAGGAGGGAAAAAGGATTTTTTCCCTTCTGTATTTCTTAGCAACCCCCCCCCCATTCTAGGGTTGAATTATCAGAGACCTCTGTGGTCCATCTTGATCTGCTCAGTGCTGTGGTGCAAGGTGAGAAGAAAGACTCAGAAACAGAAATAGAAAAACAGGGAGCCAGGATGGACGGTGCTGAGCAGGCAGCAAAGACCCTGGCCAACCAAAGAAGCTGATATTTATTGGTGACACAATCGTAGTTAAGTTGAGGCGAAGGGGCTATGTGTAGTTAGTTATTAGGGATATGTTGCTAATGTAGGCAAGGCTTGTAAAGGAAGAGACAAAACATTCTTGTGTTAGGGACAGAACAGACAAAATATAGGTTATGATGAACAAACAACCTTGTGTTTTCAGTAAAGAAGGTTTTAATTTTGGGAATAGAATTTGGGTACAAGTCACTCTGACCTTGACTGTTATCTCATGTTAAGCCCCATAGCTTCATGGGCCATTTCTCTGGTCTCTGCCATGACCATTAGCAGAGGGTCTGATATTGGCCTATGAGCCATCCACAATGCTCCTATGAGTCACGTAGGCTTTGGTCAGACTCATTTCTTAAAACATGCCAATTGTGAGGTAACTTTTTACATCCTCCTCTGTTTACGGCCTGCTTTGGGCATGATCAATGGGTGGTCCCCCATATTGAACCCAGTGCCTTCCCACTGAACTACATTCCCAGCCCTTTTTATTTTTTTATTTTGAGAAGTTGTTTGGAAAGTTTCATCATACTTTGAAATGACTGTCTGGGTTTCAATTTTGTTCTCTTCTGACAGATCTTTAGTTTGTGGTCTCAAAATACTGTTTCCATCTTTCTCAGGAAAACAGGAAAGCATTTTCACAACTTCATTAGTTGGCAAGACCTAAGAGCAGCTGAACTTGTAAAATCTTGCAATAATTCTCTTCTGATGAAGGTAATCTTTTATTTTTTATGATTTGAATGTTATTGTATTTTTTGTAAATGTCTGCTAACTATAGACTTAAATAATTTCCCACCTTTGTTGTTTTAGAACATAAGAGAATACATAAACACATATTCTCCTAATCAGTGAAATTTAGTAATAGTCACCTAAAAAACTAACATGGTAGATTTTAGAGAGTCCTTGGGAGGTTTGTAGTAGACCATAGTTTTATGTATTCGTGGGAATGCATATTTCTACCATTGAAAAATGGAAAAGATGCAGCCTAGATAGAATAAAATATCCAAACTTCATCTGTTACTGTAGAGAATGGATATTGAGGCAGATAATGAGCAGACTGCTCTAAGCTCTTCATTTAATGCCTGGCACCATCAGTAAGCGACAGTGATGCTGCTGCTGATGGTGACAGCACTGGCATCAACACTAGCTGCAGTTGTGCCATTTCTCTGCAATTTCCTGAGATTATAATTAATATTCCATATTGATTACTTTAGGACTTCTAATGCCCCACAATTAATTTTTTTTCTTCTCACCTACTGTACTGGTACCAGATGGTGCATGACAGAGTGCCTGGATTATTATTTTTTTATTTTTAAAATTTTTTTTGGTACCAGGGATCAAACTTAGGACCTTGCACTTGCAAGGCAGGCGTGGTGCCACTGAGCTAAATCCCCAGCCCAGTGTGTTTTTTTTTTGGAGGCAAAACATTTATTGGTACATTTTAGATTTATGTAGGGAACAGGGAAGGGGGACATTACTAGAACCTCTGCAGTCTCCTGTGAGCCACGGCAGCACAAGGCGAATTAACTTATGTTGGAAAGGTAGAAAAATGAGACTTGGAGAAGAAGCTGAGCTTTGGGTCTGATCAGTGCTGCTCTGGGCACCAAAGACAAAAGCCCCTGAGCTTGCTGCACCTTTTATTCAGTACATAGGGAGAAACAAATGTAACATATAACGGGAGTGGCAGAATTCCTAGATCAAGAGGAACTATGTAGATGAAGATTTGGTTCCTCCCAGGGTGTCTCCCAAAGGTGTGGTCTTGCCCTGGAGCATCACAGCATAGCGGGATCATTGAGGTCTCAGTTGTGACCGGAGGCCAAGGTAGAATCATGTCTGGAAATGCCATAGCTGGCCTGTAGGCAGGAGAGCTAGGCCTAATCAAATGATTTTTCCGCTAAAATTATGTAGGATTGCTCCCTGACATATCTCCCTTTCTTTTGTTTTATGTGAGGGTGTTTTTAGGAAAAGTGAGCATACCCGACAATGGCTTGTCCCTGTATATTGTGAGGATCTATAGTGTGTTTGACTGGCTTAGCTATCTATAATAAGCATAATTTCTCTTAATTGGGGCTATAAAAGGATAAAAATCTAAAAAATTTTTTTTAAAACAATGTTGGCAAAACCCCACAAAACTGTTGTTGAACTCAAATATTATCTACAGTTATACTTTTCTATTGGGTGTTTAAGACCAAGTTATGGTTAGACCTATATTAAATAAAATTAACCTCTTGCTATCTAACAAGGTCAATTAAGTCTAGCAGTCATTGTCTTGGAACCAATGCATAGAGCCTCTTAGCTCCTCTGTCAATGTCAGCCATCAGAATATGTCACGGCCTTGCTTGACCATGTTGCTTTCTGTGAAAGCAAGGGAGATTTTTTTCCTCCAGGTGACCTTCCTTTGGCACACTTTTTGTTGGATCTTACTGTTTTGGTGTTCAACAGCCTCCCTGGCCAGGAGGTTGGGTGACTCACCAAAGATGTAGGATCTTGGAGAAGGTTTCCTCAAGTCCTGGATCTTTTTTTTTTTTTTTAAATCCTGGATCTTTTTGTTGTAGTTGGCCTTGGAGGGCCAGGGCCAAAATACTGACTGTCATCTTAGCCCAGATACCTTGTTAGTTCTGGTCTCTAAACTTTGGTTGTTGAACACCCAGAAGATCAATAACAGTGTTATAAGAGGAGTAGTGAACTCAACTAATTATAATTTTACCTGGATATTAAGCATTTTGGAATAGAAATATAGTTAAAAACTGTTATTATAGGCAATCATGGTTGTTCTTGTGGTTGAATCCCTGAGTAGCTATCTTTTTATAGGATGTCATCTAAGGAAAATATATCAGCCTACAAGTTTGCCTATTATCATAGGTGGCTGGAACATAAGAGAAGGGCAAATATCTGAATCAAAAGGTTGTTACCATAAACAATGTTAGAAGACCCATACAATTAGAGGCCACGAATACATTTTGTACACCAGAAAAGGAGCAGTAATAAATATTACAGTTATATAAAACATTATGTTCTTCAATATAGTTTGGTACCAAAAGTATCTTTCTAATAACACTCTTTAGTTTATGCCACAGAAATTAATCTCTTGAAGATGACCAATGTAGACATCACAATAACATATTTAGCACTTAACCAATGTAAACATAACATGTTTAGAGCTTAACCAATGTAAACATTTTATAATAACCTATTTAGTGCTTAAACGTCAATGATAACCATTATAATCAATTTATAACTTATTTAGGATTAAAACTTTAATGATAACCAATGTAATCAATTTATAATAACATATTGAAACAATATTTGTTGTGGTGTGTCTCCCGTAAGATTATGAAAATTACTAGGGGGTCCCTTCAGGGAATGAAGACCAGAATAATTATTTTCTGGGCAGCCGCTTCTTTATTCACCAAAGGGAGTACCCACGGTCTCTATTTACTTTGACAAACAAATAATTTAAAAAAAAATCTTTTTATTCTTATAACTACTTATTGCAATTTGATTATTACGAGTAGGTGACAATACACATTATTTTTGTAAAATAAATTTTGGTGGTACTTTGATCAGTTAGCAACCTGGGGGAAGGAGGGCATCCTTTTAACTTAATAACTTTTATCTGCAAGCCAATTTAGTAATAGGTGAATATCTTTTAAGAAAATTTTTTTTCAAAAGTTGAAAAGGAAAAGAGCAGAAAAAAATTTGAGCTCAACTGTATAAACAGACAACAGACGAACATATAAGACAATTTATAAAACTAGAGTGCACTCAAATATATTTGGCCAAATTGAATTACAATATCCCTTTTATGATTTTTAGGTTTATAATTGTATATAAGACTGGTCAAAAACTTTTGTAGTCAATTAACAGAGATCTCTTGAAATTAGAATCAGAAGGAATGCAAGCGCTTTTATACCTATAAATGTGAAAAGATCATTTTGAAGTTGCACCCCCCTCCCTTTTTTTAACCATAAATCTATATTTATTCTCCCTCTGGGGGCATCATCTCAGCCCTGGACCCCACTGTGGATTTGTTGGTTGTCACTGGTGAGATGGGTCGCTCAGGTGCTGCTGGCTCATCACTCTCAGCGGGGGTGCTATCCCTGGTCTCTGAGATGTTGGTGGTTCCACCAGCATGACCCATGATTGCACATTCCAGGAGAGCAACCACAAGGTTTCATCCTTATCTGTAAGGACACAGGCAAAATCTCTCCCCCAAGTTATTAAGGCAGGAGGAATTTTTTGACATATGGCCTTTTGTAATCTTAAAAACAAGTTTAATAATTTAGATTCTAAGGTAGAGCAGACCATAGCTCTTTCCAGTCTTTGAGTCAAACAGACTGCACGAGAGGGCTCACTCAAAATATTAAGAAGTTGGGAAGGGAAGTTTTCAATCACAAATAAAATGGCTAGCAACTCTCACCTCTGACCAGAGAGACTAGGTGTGGGTAACATATAGCCAAAGGAAGAGCTCCAAATTGCTGCTTGGCTCTTAGAGGAGCCATGGGTGAAATAGGTTGAGGCACCTTGCAATGGCTGAAATTGAGTAGTCTTGGGGAGAATAAACTCATGTCATGAAAAAAACTGAAACAGAGGGCCGGGGATTTAGCTCAGTGGTTTTGCCGCCTGCTGCGCAAGCACAAGGACCAGAGTTCGATCCCTGGTACCAAAAAAAAAAAAATTGAAACAGAGAGAAGCTGAGTCAGTCCCAGCACTCGGAAGGAAGCTCCCCCACCACCATCCCACACTCCTAGGGCAGAGAAGGTGAGCAGGTCCCAGCACCCGGAAGGAAGCTCC